CATAATTAACACAAAATATATATAGTGAGAATGTAATTTCATCAATAAGAAGAAACAAAAAAATTTCAGATGTCTAGTTGTGATACTGGAAAGCACATTTAGACTCTTAAAAGTGATAATACGACACCAGCAGAACTCATCTCCACTTGGCAAACGTGGCTAACAAACGGCATTGGAATTTTAATTCCTTCCAGAAATGCATGGCAGCTGGTATCCAAGGCCACCTGTAGTCATGAGAGTTATTTTAAATGTTCACTCAAAATGGACTGTGTAATGAAGGATTTTAAAAATAGTCATTAAAAGCTGACTTTTTTTTTTAAAGTTCAAACTCCACCAGTTTTATAGACGGCATTTTTTGAAGGAATTATAATAATCTTATTGATAAGCTCAGGACAGCAGCGAACAGCAGGTTAATGAGACATAGTTGGATTTCTTAAGACTCTAATGATACGGCGTTTCTTCTGCACTCACTCTTTTAGTACTCACTTTTTTCAAATACACTCATCACCCTCTAATGGAATCTCCTTGCAGCCTGTTACCCATGCAGGAGGGAACACAGAGTGTTAGCATGGCAAGTCTCTCTTTCATACATTAAAAATGCCAATCAGAAAGATTCTAGTTCCATCCTTGCTCATGTGTTAGCTAATTAAATAGTGAAGGCAGATTGCTTTTGCACAGGGCCACTGTAAGCATCTTCTCCCCTTTTAGTTATGTCAATAGGAAAGAGCCTGGCCAGGGACTTCAACCCCCTGTGGATGCCATTTTCTTTCCCTTTGGATTTTCTGTTTAAAACACGAACAATAGATACACTAGGAGTGGACCAGGCTGCTCCAAGGGTCCTATGCTGCCTGAGCACACTTGAATACCCTCAGGGCAGGGCGATGTATCTCCTGCATGATAGGACTATGGGAGGGGGGAAATCTTAGATGATTTCCTGGGTATTTCATGTTGAAACCATACCTGTGGAAAGAAAATAGCTGTCTGGGTAACTGAGGCTCACAGCCCTTTTATCAAGATGGAATCTTACACACAGCTGATTCCCAACCACCTGGGACACATCAGCAAATCAGCATGTGGCAGGAGCTTATTGCAGTGTGCTGGGAGGAAGGGACATCTAAGGGAGCAAATGTTCAGAGGAACAGGGGACAACTGGCTGCTGACAGTGGAGACACCTTCCTGAACCCCCTGGCCAAACCCCTTTTCTCATTCCCAGATGCAGAGTTCTTGACGACCAGCCCACTTTAACCAACCAGCAACTGAGTAGTGCAGGAAATTTAAATAAAAGATGAAAAACAATTTCTATGACTTGGTCACCTATAGTGAAAACCCTTTTAAAATGGCCTCTTAATTGTAACATCAGATTTTCAAATATTCTCTACTCTCTAGAAAACATACTGGTGGATACCCACAACTTAATAAACTTTCTCTGTAAGCCTGGGCCCTTTGCTTCTATGAGTTGAGTTACATGACTGCTAAGAGTCAGCTGTATTTATTAACAAATCTATTCCAGTTGTAGTTTTCATTGCAATTGCACAATACAATGAAATATGTCGCAAACTGATAAAACCTGTGAAAAAGAGGATTATCTCTATGAAAACGAAGTAAATACTCTGGAAATACTCAAAAAAGGAAAACTGTTCAAAATAACTGCTGTTAAATTAGATGTAAAGTTAATTATAGAAGACTAAAAGAAAAATATCAGAAAAACCTTCAGTCTTAATTCCACTTGAAAGTATCAAAATCGATCATCCTAGCGATGGATTATGAATGTGGTTTTTGCAGATTCCAATCAGCAGACTTCCTCAAAGAAAAGGACTTGGTTTGGCATTAGAAGACTGGTGAATGGATGTTCATGTGAACTTTCAGGATACAATAAAACATTCAAGAATGTGCACAACTTATTTTATAATTCTCTAGTTATTTACTGACTTTTTAAGCTAACCAACAAACCACTGGCATGTACAAATTCAGTGCCTTCTGCACTTGATTCAGGCGAGGCCACTACCCCTCCTTTTGGGCTTATGGGATGTGTTAGTTCATGGCAGTTTCTGTGCAGAGGAGCTGAAGTGCTGGGTGGTCTCTGGACTTCCTACTTGGTCCTATAAGGCAGAATGGTAGAAGCCTGGACAGTCAGGAGGCTCGAGAGGCATATGGCAGTGGTCTGATTTTCCAGCACATAGAATCCTAAGCTAAACATACCCCAACAGGTATAAACATGAGAGCTGCTCCCTCATAGCAAAGCGAAACTAACACTGTGTTTGTCAAGGATTGAAGGAGAGAAACTTCTAACATTTCTTTTTGATGATTTGGGTCTTAATCTGAATCCCAAGCTTCAGCTGCAGCATTTCAGGGGAGATTTCCCTTGTAATACAGAAATGCAATCAATGAGGCACCCCGAAAGGCAAAGAACTCAGTGGTACGAACACGTTGTTTAAAAAAATAGAATAAAGTTTACAAGAAGCAGAATACACATGCCATGTATAACTCCCAACTTGATACAGTGCTATTTTTAGAATTGTCCAGCCAGCCAAAGAAATACTGGTATGGATACAACCCTAAGGACTAATTTCACCACTGCCTTTGGGATCCACACAGTCATTACGACAGAAATGGAAAACTCTTGGGGCCGATTCCTGATAATATTGCCTTTAACCGTGCATTTCCCTAATTATTCTCTTTCTTGCTATATGCAAATATAGAAAACACCAGATATGCTGAAGGTGAGGAGAGAATGCAGCAGCTGAGAGGGGAAGGAAACCCCGTGTCAGCAGCTTCCACAAAGAAGGAACAATGTCAAAATAAGGGCAATCTTCTAGTCACTTAGGATAGATAATCATCAAAATGATAAATAGTCCTGGTATTTTCCTTTTCTAACACAACGATGGACAATTTATTTACATTAAAAAAAATACAAAACCTCACATCCATTAAAAAGTCACCACAGAGGTATTCACATGGCAGTGATGACACTTTATTTTGAGCCTGGACTCAGGATGAAATATTTCACTAATTACCATGCAGTATATTTACAGCTTTAATTGTTTTTTCCTATTTCTCCAGGGACATATTCCTTCTTGAAGCACAGTTGCTGAAGCAAACATTTCTTTTTATTGTTTTATAGAAACAAGCAGTGGTACCCAAAGAGCTACCATAATCCTGTAAAATCGGCTGCCAGCAAATTTTGCTTAATTTATACCTTTGCCCCAAGCTGTGCCTTAGGGCCTGCCTTATTTTTTGGTTTGAACTTGACAGAAAGCAGTATGTTAGAATGAAACAAATTTAAAAAGATCCCGACATACTTCCTTCCAACCAGTATTTTTCGGGCAAACTTTGGTCTTTCCTTGCCTTCAAGAATGTCACCTACAATCCTGAAACATTAATTAATCATTAAAGCCCAAACGTTTTATTTGTACCCTTGAAGGAATATGCCTTTTTAAAAATGACATTTCCTCATTACAAAAGTAAAACATGCTCATCGTGGAATATCTGGAGCACAAAAGAAAAGTACCAAGAAAAAAATTAAACCATAATCTCACCAAGCAGACATAAGCACTGTAAACATTTGGATAAATTGTCTTCCAATTCATACAGTGAAAGAATGTAGTTCTTTATTAAGTCTTAAAAACTGTCTTCTATTCCTTAATAAAAACTTATTTTCCTCATAAAAAGCTCAATTACAATTTTTCTCTGGGACTTACATTTCGTGTAATATTTGGAAGAGTTTTTAAGAATGAACATGGGTGTCTGGTTTAAAATTTTTGCCATATTGAATACTACATAACAAGCCCTAAAGTCTAAAAGGTATTTATGGATGAACAATATACTTATTGCATGTAAAAACACTGTTCAAGAGGATAATTTTCAAAATAAGGTCAGTTATTTTAAGAATGACAATTTCGAACTACGCTTTGAGACAATCCTAATATTCAGCAAAATGTATGATTTGTTCGGTGTACATATTTTAAGCATGTTCCAAAGTGGAAAAGGATTCACAAATTCAGATGTGGGGAAATCTGCAGGGGCCTGGAAACCTCTTCAAAAAGCTTCCAAGAGCCTCGTAGTACTCAATAAAAAAGAGGATTCATCTTGCTTTACTTTTCTACATTTGGAGGCTGTGAAGCTGTGTTTGATTATGATGTGCTCTATATGCTTCAGGTTAAGCACATTTATTATCTGGGATCTTTTAGAGAAGACCATCTTGAAAGTAGGAATTGCAATTGAAAACAGTACCTAAGAACAATCCAGACCACCGCTGGTCATGCAGAGCTTACATTTTTAGTTTCTCTTTATCACCCGTAAATCTTACCTTAATCATATCTAAAGTCATGCACCCCCTAAATCTTATCTTAATCATACCTAAGTCATGTTTGAAATAATCTCTTCCAGTCCATGAGTACAAAGAGAGGTCAGAGCAGTTCATATTGAAATATGTGTGTGTTTGTACATGTGTACATCTATACATGTACATGTATGTATTTAAAATAAATACACATATGTATTTATATATTTATATAGGCAAATACACATATGTCTACAAACACACACCACTTATTAACATATTCCCAAAATATTAATCAAGTGTTTTCTCATTTTCTTCTACTTAATACAACTTTCAGGGTATTTCATTTCTCTCTGTAGATGACCTCATATAACTCTATCCAGACAGTGGGAAGCCTACAATGGGAAGAATTCATTGGAGAAAATTTCCTGAGACATTACAAGTATATTTCTGACAACCAACTCCTGTTTGCCTGCATGCATGTATTCAACTGAGTGTCACTTCTTCGCATAACGTGCAGCCATGGAAACCTTTACGAGAAAACACCAGTCAGAAGCAAGACAGAATTCCCACATTTACAACAGACTTGAACACTGAGCCAGAGCATGGAAGTCCAGGACGTAAACCACTTCCAAGGGGAGAGAAGTTTATTGGCCCCCCAGATACTGGGAAGAGTGAGTGAAATAAACAAGGGCTGAAAACCACAAGAGCGGACGCTTACTTGAGGGCCGTACTGTAGTGGTAGATGGCTTCCCGGTTCCGACCTTGGTCCTTCAGGAAATTGGCATAGTTGTAGTGGACCTTGGCATTGTGGGGCAGAGTTTGGACTCCAGACCTAAAATTAACATTTTTTTCAAAAAGATCAACAAAAAATACTGTTTAGGAATGTTATCGGTTTCTTTCATGTTTTACTCACCGTTGCATAAGCCTGTATTTGAAATGTCTGTTGCATCCATCCAAGCCAAGTTTTCCACAATTTGTGAATTGTATGAGTTATTAAACATGCTTCTATGGAAAACAATGAAGGCAGCGCCCAGTTACACACAATGATACAAGCATGCTAACTGCCTGTGAAGCAGGGTGGCAGGCCACAGGAAGACAGAATTATTTGGAGAACAAATGTGCATGCTTAGATTAACTCAGTTTTTCCCTCCCTTGCTGCCTTCATTCCTTTATTGCGTCCCTTTTAAAAAAATTGAGATTGCCTACAAAAATAAGTCATTACAAGAGGGATGACTGTAGACTGGCTTCCCTTTACTAAGTTAATTTATTGAAAATCAACATTTCAAAAGGACTAAATCTGGGCTAATTAAAAAAAAAATAAATGCAGGTATAATTATTCTGTAAATTGCTGATAAGGAAACAGGTTTTGCTCAGAAAGGTTAAAAACCTTGCTGTAATGGTTACTGTTCTAGTTTGCCTGGGCTGCCATAACACAATACCTGGGGAACCCGTACAGGGTAACAAATACTCTTTGAAGACAATACCAGGAGCAGGTAGGGGCAGGAGGGCATCTGTTTGTCATCTGTAAGTGCCTCACACATTTCATCTGCACCAGGTCATACAGCTGCTAAGTGGCAGATGGGGTTCTGACCCAAGCAGATTGGTTCTAGGGTCCCTTGTTTGCTTGCTTTAAAGGAGCTGGTGGCAGTGAAAGGTTGGAAGTAGGTGGGTTTGAGGGCTACTTGGAAAGAAAACGCCTGGAACTCCTATGGATTAAATATGGATGTAACCGGCCTATTCACTGAAACTGACCCTACCCTCTGCAGGGTTAGCATGGTTACTCTGATTTATGTTTCAGTCGAGGAGCAGACAGTTGGGCCTGCGGACACGCGGCTCTTGCTGGGATCAGGGCGTTGTTCGGTGCAGCGACGGGAAGTAATAATATCCCAACAGGCAATCAGATGTGGGTGGAGTGACTTGAATTCTAAGAACACACCACTTTCCCATTGTTGCTTTTGACCTTTCTGCTCATTCTGTGGTATTTTTCCACTGTGTTTTTCCAGTCTCTCATTTCACAATGAACAGTTTGTGAGAAAAGGAAAATAAACAACTGGCCAAAGGCAAAATTTTCCACGTAGCTGTAAGCAGCTGGACTTCTGGGCCTCCCAGGCACGGACTCCTCCCCTTGCTTCCTTGGGACCATGATTCAGGAGTCCCAACTGCCTTGACACAGACGTGCAGTCTCACACAGACTTACTCTCAAGGAAGCGCACCATTCCTAAGTGACACGGCTGGACCTCAAGCCCTACCAGTGACAATGACTGTGAATAAAAAGTCTCTGCTCAACTCCGGATCTCTATCCTTGCACGTGTATTCCTCCCTCATGCCTCTCATTTGCAGAACCTCGAAAAATACCAGAAGTAACAAAAAAGCCACTTCTATCAGGTAGATGTCCAAGTTTGTAGAATATAATTTGTTCTGCTGGCATCATTGGAAAACAGACCAGGAAAACTGTCCCCAATTTCTTGATCAGAAAACAAACATCAAAAAAATAAAGTGAGTTGTGTTCAGATAGAGGTTAACCAGAAAGGGAAGTGAGATGACCCTGTGGGCTTCCTCAGCTGTGACCCGAGGTTTCACACCACCACTGAGGACGGCCAGTACTCAATGGCATGCTCAGCCGGAGCCAGGAGCTGGGCTAAGGACCCACTTCCAAGGGTTCTCTGCTTTCGTCCCTTCGATAACCTACCAGATGTGTAGTTGTGTAGTCCAGTTATACCTCCCCTGTTACAGATGAGGAAACTGAAGTGCAGAGAGATTAAGGCCCTTTGCTAAGGTTGAGTGGAGATTTCAATCAAGGCCAGTATACGGTCAGGATCATTCCTACTGACGCTATACCAAAAAGGTACCCGAACACTAGTTAACATTATAATGTTGCTGTCATAACATTGACATCATTGGTAAGCAAACTAGGGCCTTGTGGCCACAATGCACCGACGTGTTTACCTACCGTCTTTGACCTCTTTTCAGAGGCAGTGACAAAGCTGCGTAGCTGCAGAGAGACCGTGTGCCCGACAAAGACTAAAATATTTACTATCTGGCCCTGAACCAAAGAATTTGCCAATCCCTAGTTTAAACTCTCTGCCCTGGGAGGTCTGCTGATCTTTCTGGCTCAGCAATTCAGAGAGAAGGAAAGAGACTAGTGTTTCCTGCAAAGGGGAGAATTATCAGGGCATGAATTCTTCATTGGTAGCCCATGCATCACTTAAAGAACGGGATTCAGAGTACCTGGACTGGATGCAAAAGTCAATATACTGTCTTTCCCAGTATTCTGAAAATTTAAGGAAGCAGAGGGTATCAAATCATGTATTATTTACTCAAAAAGAAATGTAAGATTTTGGGGTGCAACCAGACACAATTAAGGCTATGCAGTTAATCTCTTACTATATAATTTCTCATTATAAGAATTAAGGAAAATAGACTTTGCAGCTATGATTATGAACTTCTCTCCCTCTTTCTCTCACTCTCTTTTCTATACTGGATTTTGTTTAGATTGGAAAACTTGAAGTAAAAAATAGGTGTAGCAAAGTTTATGTATTCTTGTACATCAGATTTGGGTCCAAATCCTGGCTCCTCGTCTTCACAGCTATTTCTTTTTTTTTTTAAGGTATCATTGATATACAATCTTACGAAGTTGTCGCATAATCAACACTGTGGTTGCAACATTCACCCATATTACCAAGTCCCCCACCCCCACACCCCATTGCAGTCACTGTCCCATCAGCAGAGTAAGAAGCTATAGAGTCACTACTTGTCTTCTCTTTTGCAGTTATTTCAACATGGACCAATTACTTTCTCTGGGCCTCTAATGAGAACACAAGCATTGGGTTCTTGTGCTTTTGTGAGGAAGGTCCTTGCCAATAGAAGTACAGAGCTGCAAGGGGCCCCTGCATCTCTACATCCTAAAAATACACTACACACTGGGATTTTTTTGTGTGAGAGGAGGCCTCAGCTTGAAAGGCTAGGACTTCACAGAAATCTGGGATTTTCTCCAACACCAAGGTCTGTCCTAAGGTACTCTGTAAGGCTGTTTTGCAGTATTGCCAAGCAAAATCACCACCCATCATTAGGGAGCTTTAAAGACACCCTGTGTCCTAGGAACGGTTGGGGGGTTTATTGTTTGAAACAGAGGAGAAAATGGGAACAGCGCTCTGCCAAGAATGCCACCTTATCTAGATTTCTTATAAATTTTTCATACTCAGTTCTGCCAGTTCCCAGTTCTGGCCATGGCTAATGTAAGTTTTTCTCATCCGTATATACTCAGCTCTGGACTACAGGACACAGTCCTCTAGGGCCTGGGTTGGTCTTAGTCGCCACTACCTCTCCCTCTACCACGTGTATATGCCGTATACACCTGCGACAGATTGTATTCCAGTGTGTTCAGGACCCCCCCCTGCCATGCGGGCTCCAAGTTCCTTCACAGATGATCCATCTCTCTCTCATCCTAGAACCCAGCACATAACAGTAATTTGAGACCCTTACGTAGTGTTTACCACACTGCCCTATGCATCTTTCACATATTCTTTTATTCTTACAGTATTCCCACAAGAAACACACTATTATTCTTCTAAATGTTAAAAATAAAGAAACTAAGGCATGGAGTGGTTAAATAACTTGTCCACAATCACACAGCTGTTGAGCGGTGAAACTTGGAGCTGAGCCAGAAAATCTGCCTCCAGACCCCACACTCAACCCATAATCCTCCCTTGCTGCATAGATTCTTGGAAATGTTTGTTCAACTGATCTGAACGTCGCTCAGCATAGATGAATACATACAAACATCTGATCTTGAAGGAAAAAAAATATTCTTAAAGTCTCAGATTCTTGAAAGTTTTCTTAGGACACAGACGAATTATAATAGACCAAGTTTCCTAAAAACTATCAATAGCTTTGATCTGCACATTATACAAAATTCCATCTGATCACCAAAGGCCTTTCAGATCACAAAGTCCTGTTAAGCACACACGTGGATTGGTTGTGTTTTAGTAATTAACTGTTCACTTATTGCGGACTTCCACCTAAAAGAACGGAAGCCTCTGGATCCGAGGTCCATGAACTTCTCTTTTTGCTTTGTTGTTTTTCTAAACAATTGGCTGTAGAGGTTTGAACACTGAAATAAATGGCTGCCTGTCAAAATCCATCCACAAAGTTGCTTTGATTAAGCAGTAAACATCATTAGGAGACATGACCTCTGTTAAGACCTTTAAAGCATAGGGTTTAACCCAGAGCAGAACCATTTTAAAGTTTCTCATAAAAGCGACGACTATTGAAAGCAAAAGAAAACAAAAATTAAGCAACCAGAGACTAAGAGGAAGTTATATTAGAGAACTTCCATGCCCCTGTGCTCTGGGTAGTCAAAGAGAACAAGTCCACTGTGGTCTGTGAGACCTGAGTGAAAGGGGAAGGGTTAAGACTGGGACTGAGCAGAATCTGAAGCCTAAAAGTAGAAGAATATTCATCACAAAAAACCCACATAAAAAGCCTCCACAGGTCCCTAGAGAGCCCAATGAGATGATGATAATCATTTAGTAATCAATTGGTAAGATACACATGCAAACTAATTTTTCTCTATTAAGAGAAAGTTGAGTAGCCAAGTAGCAAAATCAGATACATTCTTTTAAAATGGCAGAAGAAGTGAACATTTGTGTGATTTGCTTATTCGTTCATTCATTCATCTTTGACAGCCCAGAAGGGAGTTCCCTCTAGCTTCGCTTTGTGACGTCCTGGGGGAGGGCCAAGGCACTCTGCCCACCGTAGCTCCCTCTGTGGAAGTCAGAGGGGTTTCTTTGGCCAGATCAGTCATTCTGTTGCCCTGGTGGGGAGTAAGGGCAGGCACGTGACCTAAGTTCAAGCTCAGCCTGAGGACTCTGATGTGAAGGTAGAAGAAACTGGTGGACGTCTGCTTGTTCACTGGGTGCCCAAGTGCTCTCGCGACAGACTTCCTAGACGCCTGCGTCCCATCTGCTCCACGCCAGCTTCTTCGCCTGCCCTTCAACTCTGTGTGCTTTCCTATATTCTTCTAATATTTTCCCTTTTTTTCAATTGATATCCCAACCCTGTTTCAGTTATTTGCCTCTGAAGAATACGGGTTGCATATCAGCTGAGCAAGGAATTAAGTAAAAACGACATCGAGTGAACTGGCCAACAAAGGTCGTACACAAGACAGAAGCTGGAAGGGGGCACAGACGGAGATCCCTGGGAGACTGGGGGGATTCAGTCCTGGTGCCCGGGGAGCCCAACCATAGGTCACCAGGGCTACGGCATTCGGGAGGCGGACTAAGCCCTGGAAACACAGCCCAATGAGCAACAGTCCCCAAGAATGTTCAAACTTTTTGACCAGTTTAGGGCTGTGAGCTGGCATTGTTACATTCAGAAACAGCTTCTGTATCACATAAAAACACACCAGGTGATGAAAAAAGTCTTCCATTTCACATTCACAATTAATGTTCAAAATAAAGCATGTAGATCACAGATCACAACTTAACAGATGAGAGTATTCTCAAGGAAATGTACTGTTTCCCTTCCTCCTGACTGTGTGCTCACCTTTCCACTGACTTGTCGGCACAGTGAAATTAGGCTTATTGCTTCATTTTGTTTATGGCTGATTTTATAGCTCGGCTCATCATTAAGACTGCTTCCATCTTAATTTACAGACTGAAACACCTTTCCGTGAGCCTTATTTTCATAAAGTTGCTTAGAACAAGCTCACATTAAAAAACTAAAGTTAAAACCCAACATAAAATGACGTCTTCTTTTTTTAAAACTTTACCCCCCAAAATTTCTGCATTAATAAATATTGCCAGACCCATGTGACCTCATTTGTCTGGAAACTAATATGCGAACAGAGGAATAAATGGGAAAAGAGTCACCTCTAGCCGTCTAATCGTACCTGAACAGGGACTCTCTTGACAGCCAGATTTCATTCTGCTTCACAGTTTTCCATGAGAAGAGCAGTAGCAGCAGCGTGGTGGACACGGTCAGGGTGGTGGTCCCGCCTCGGTGTAGCCCGGTGCAGAGCCTGCTCAGGCCGTGCACGAAGAGGATGCAGTAGCCCATGCTGGAAAACGGGGGTGCAGGCAGGATTACTTAGGGAGGTACAGTGGGTGCCCCCTGAGTATTCTATCCCACATAACTAACTTTCAAATAAAGCTTGTCCTATGATCGAGGAACAAATATGAACTCCTCTGTCTTATATAGTAACATTTACACATTGGTTCTCTAACCGGCTACATCAGCACAAAAATTTGCTAGGTCTTTGGCTTTACTGTGGGACACAATCGGTTCCTCTTGCAGGTTCAAACTGCCCTGGATTTCAGCAGCCCAGGACTCCTGAGAAGTCCCTCACGTATGTTCTTGGGTCCTGAATAGGCCCTTGCTCCCTTATGTCACTGTCACTGTCACTGTATAACCCCACTGGCACCATGTGTCCAAATCTGGACTCTGTGCGGCAGGTCACATCATGACCTTGTGGAGACAGCTCCTAAGAGCTCCCTATCAGGACCTGGAAGGGATGCTGGTCACCAGAGGGCACTGGCCTCTGTCTCCAGAAATGTGCCATCTAGTATGTCCCCACTTTGGTCAAAGTCCTTACACTAAAGGAAAATCTACCCATAAGCCAACTCCCGAGCCTTGAGACTTGGAGCTCAGCACAGACAGGCTGTACTGATGTAATTCTCTTGCTGACTCTGGCCCAGCTTTCCAGACAGACACAAGGAATCCCTCGTGTTATCTGAGTGAGACTTTGGCAGGTCAGTGGTATGTCTCTAAAAAGCCTTTGGCCTGGTAGATGGAACATGGTTCCCCACATCATCTGGGCAGCACAGAGATGATTCTTGCCTGCCTAATGGCCTCAGAAAAACACAGACATTTAATTCATATCCATTACTGCCATGTGAATTTCAGTCAAAGCCACTTCCTTCCAAAGACGTTAATGACAAATCATTACAGAATATTTTAAGAATGAAGCAAGCTTGTGCAAAGAAACTATACAACAACCCAGTAACTCTACTCCTAAGAATTTACCCAAAGAAAACAAAATCTCTGATTTGAAAAGATATATGCACCCCTATGTTTACTGCGACATTATTTACAATAGCCAAGATATGGAAGCAACCAAAGTGTCCATCAGTAGATGAGTAGATAATGAAGATGTAGTACATAAACATAATGAATGTTTATTCAGCCATAAAAAAGAAAGAAAACATGCTTTTTGTGACATGGATGGACCTAGAGGTATTATGCTCAGTGAAATAAGCCAGGCAGAGAAAGACAAATATCTCATGATTTCACTTATTTGTGGAATCTAAAAGCAAAGCAAAACAAAATGAACAAAAGAGCAGCAGACTCACAGACACTGAGAAGTGACTGGTGGTTACCATGGGGGAGGGGTTGGGGTGGGTGGGTAGGGAGGGGGAGGGGGGTAAGAAGGCACAAAAATTCTCAATCATAATGTAAGTTGGTCACAGGGATGGTAGTGCAGCATGCAGAATATAGTCATTGATTCTGTAACATCTTCCTATGTTCACAGATACTAACTGCACCAGAGGGGGTAAGGGTTTCATAATGTGGGTAACTGTGGAACCACTGTGTTGAAACCAATATAATTATTTGTATATCAACTATACTTCAATTGAAAAAAAAAGAAACCCCAAGTTAGTCAGACATTAATGTTATAAGAAGCTCAAAACTAACACAGCCCATTCACTTGTTTGATTATTTACTCATTCTCTAGTAGGTGACTGGCAGTTGGGTACTAAAATATAATTATTAATAAATACAAGTTTATTAAGACAGGTTGGTTTTGTAAAAGAAAACAGCTCAATATTCTCATTTCTAAAGGTATCTCCTTTAAAAAAAAACACCTCTCCAGTTTCCTCCTGTTCACCTTTGGAAATGTCTGTGCTTTGGTATCAAGGGTAGAAAAACAAGGGAGAAGTATGTGAGGTTCTGACCTGAAGACTGGGAATGACTTCAAGGGGGTGCTCCAGGTCCACACTTCCAACACCACAGTCTCCTGGCCCAGCTCCCTAAAGTTTCAGGGTTCACTCTTGGGCCAAAGGGTCACTCCCCACTGGGGGTCTATGGTTTGAGCAAAGGAGGCCTGTGCTCCCGACGCACCTACCCCAGGCACTGGATTGACTGGCACAAGCCCTCTGCAGAAGCCCTGAACACATAAGAACATGGAATCACTCATATAAAAAATTAAAAAAACAAAAACAAAAAAACCTCTTCCCACTTCCACAACTCCTCACAGTTGGCCTTAAAGTATCAAGATTTTCTCCAAATCCCTCATTATGGTACAAGCGGCCGCGCTGATGCCACATCTGCTCACGCTCAGGAGGCTGCTGGCCGCGTGCTCCCCAAGCTCCACCCAGGCGGACTCCGGCCCCCCTGACAGGCTGCTCCTGCGGCCAGGGCAGGGCCTTCTAGGCGCCATCCATTCATGACCGCTATTACTGGCCACCGTTCCAGGGACCAAGAACACATCAATGGACAAAACAGACCATAATTCCTATCCTGGTAGAACTCCTGTGGGTAGGGAGACAGCCAATAAGCCTATGAAATGGATGATGCCACACAGAGTATGATATGTCACACAGAGAAAACATCTAGCAGGAACCAGATGGAGGGAGTCCAGGGTCGGGAGGAAGCTGAGATTTTAACAGGAGTGGTCTGGAACGGGTCACTGCAAAGGTGACAAGTGAGCGATGCATGAGGAGTGCGCCATGCAGACACCTAACTGCCCTACACCAGCGCGGTCCTTGCTGCTGCCTTCATGACGCAGCACTAGCTAGGAACTAATATTTACTGAGCACATCGTATGTGCCAAGCATCTATATACGAGCTCAGCTTATCCTCGTATCCCCCTGGGGCACTGCTAGCAGTGTCTCACCCATGAGGATGCTGAGGGAGAGAAAGGTGAACCTACTGGCTGAATTCGGTCCTCCAGCTCATACACAATAGAGCAAATACATCAACCCAGGAATTTCAAGTTCCAGAGCTCACGCTCTCCATGCCGTCCTGCCGTGGGGATTCTGGGCTGACTGACCGATTCCCGTGCTCCTCACACCTTATCACACAGCCCCACCTACTTCCTTCCCAGCCACTCCATTCATAAAATCTCAGCAGTCGTTTTCTGCCTCCTTGTAGGAGACAGAGCCGCCATCCGGCAGAGCAGTGGTGAAGGAAAACACTGGGATCCCAGGAACTCCGGGGCAGCGGCCACAAGGTGGGGGAAGACAAGGATAATGAAGATGGCAACAAAAATAATGACCCACTTTATACACGTATATGTTTGTGGAGTGCTTCCTAGGTCAGGCGCTGTGGTGGGAGCTTTACGCGGGCCTGTCCACAATATTCCTCGGGCCCAGGACGAGGCCAGTACTGGCTTTAAATACGTTATCCAATTTAGAATTTAATCCTCAGTATCTTCCAGTTCATTCACAAGGAAGCTAATGCTTAGAGGAGTTAAATAACTTGCCCCCAGTTTCCAAAGCTGGCAACAGAGTCAGATCAGAAGACCCCTGGCCCTAACACTCTGGAATGATCCAGGAGTCGGGAAAGTGGTTCTATAAGGGGCCGGAGAGTAAATATTTCAAGCTTTTCTGTTCTTCCTACTCAATCTATCCTTTCAGCAGGAAAGCAGCCATCGACACTATATAAACGAATGGGCATATGCGGCTGTGTATTTATAGAACAGGCGGTGGGCCAGGTTCCACTCAGAAGACCCCGTTTGGTGACTCCTGCTGAACCTGAAAGGGAGAACACGGTGCCTTTGCACGCAGCACAGGCATCAGCATTAAGTAACATGATCATTCTTTTTTGGGGGGAATGTCTTTGTACTGACATATGGTTTAAAGAAATGTTAAACCAGAAAAATAATCTCCGTTAGGTTTGGAAATTTCTTAGAGAGTATCACATTCTGAAAAGCTTGAACACAATATCACAAAGATTAAGATGCTTCTCTTCTATGACATTTCATCTTTCAACATCTGCTTTAATGCAGACGTCAGCAGCAGGGGAGAGAACTGCTGGCTCTCCATTGCGAGGCGCAGGGCAAGTCCTCATTTTCAAAGTGGAAAATCCAGCAAATGAGAACCGACGTGCCTTTCCAGCCTCTGGGGAGATGAACCCAGACTCCGGTTTGCCCTGGTTAACCTGCTTAAGCAAAATCTGCTCTGATCAGAGACCTCTGCGCAGAGCACAGAGCAGCCCGCGCAAACCACCGACGCTTGACAAAATCATAACCAGGAGACCCAGGCGCCCAGCTCTGGCTGCTGACTGGTTCAGCCCAGCACTGAGCTGCCTTTGCAAAGAAGCACCACTGCTGTCTCGGAGACTGGTGCTGGCGACTCACACACACACAGGATTTCTCATTCTTGGAAGGTATCTCTAAATTTGCACATGATTTTATGGAAAAGCTGCTCCGCATGCAGGGCTCGTAACAACCAAAGATATCACAGCTCTCCCTTACACTGTGCACATCTGCAGGGAGCTGCACAGGAAATACAGATCAACAGTGTTTGCCCTTTCAAAAGTACTTTCATGATCCTTGCTCATGAGTGATAGAAAGAACACCACTTTCCTTCCCATTTATATCAACCTGAAAAGACAACAATTTTCCACCTCTGAGCCAAGCATTTTAGGATGTTTGCTGTGGCTTCACATTTCGTTTAATCATATGCAGCGAAGAGAATCATTTTGCTATTAAGTTGAATGGAAATCCTACCTTTTAACTTAAACTCAAGCAACCCACTGAGAGTATCTAGAAATAATATTCATGATACAAGACAGACACAATCTTACCATTTTATTACTTTAATTCCCAATGTTAGACAGTTTGAATGAAACATCCCTAGTTAACTTCATTCCGATTGCTGAATCCCCACTTGGTAAATTAGCCAACAGTAAGATCTTATTCCAGGCTCATGGGTGTTGACCCCAAATGGTTACCCGATAAAGCCCTGCACCACTGAGCCCAGAATGGGTGGGTCTTCGATGCTGCAGCCAGAGGGCACCAGGAAGTCAGTGGGGACTCCTCAGATCAGACTTTACTTG